AAGACGTGGATGATTTGTCAAAACTTGGATTTTGGATATGTGATTTAAACAATTAAAATCATTATCGGGTTGGGATTAAATAGAGTATTTCTTTTATTATAATTTGTTGTTTAAATGATTAAACAACTGACTAGGATGGGATTAAGGTCAAAGGAGTTTTTATAAAATGAAATGGTAGATTGGTCTAGGTATGAATATTATTTTAATAATTATTTAATAGTTATGGAAATTTAATAAACCTATTAATGGATGTGATTAGTATAGTATATATAATTATATATAGACATGTATATCGTGCTTTATTAAAGTTAAAACTTTATTAGGTTTGGTTTTGATCAGAGATGATTTGCTTGTTGGTTTTCAGAGGCATGGTAGAGTGAACTTGCTCGTAGGGTTTAACCCACGATTTATTTTTCAGGTTATTAGAGGTTCCAGTCTCGAGGTTGAGGATCCGCAGCTGGGAGACTGTCATTCGTCTATTCATCTTGTGTACTTTTAAATAGTATTGGATTATTGGATAATGTTTTAAGGGGTCCTTGAGTTATGGGATTTCCGAATTGTAATTGTTGGAGAATCATTAAGTAATATTTATTTATTAGTTTTCTTCAGCGGTTTATTTATTCTTTATTATTCATCTTTGTATTCTGTGCTTGTTAAATACTTAAATTGTTTTGATATCCCCTGATTTTGTGCGCGAACTTGATCAATCCGTGTTCCAAAATTAGGGGGTATCACAATGTGTTTTTTTGTTTTTATGGCTTAACTGCTTGTTTATATTTTTCCGATATTTGCAATTAGATGACAAATTCAGCTTTCTGTTACACTTCAATCAATTATAATTCATATTACATGTAACACCTCCCAATTTGGGTGCTTGAGTTACGTAAAACTATTTTTAGTTTCTTCAAAGATGTGAAGCTTTCACCTCAGAATGTTTTTTTTGTGAGGGGTACAAGGATGCAATGTGAGGCCCTAATGTTGTTAATTGCCTTTTTATAATTATTTTATAATTTTTAATCAGCGCCCAAATATTTTTCACTTTGCTGTTATATTTTTCCATTTCATTTTTATTTTTATTTTTTTGTACATACAATTCTTACTTGTAACATGGTTTTCTCTTCTAAGTTCTCTATGGAATCCTATTTTCTCACATTTTTTCATTGTCAAGAAACTCACACACCCATTTGCAATTATGGGGACTTGAACCCTCTCCATCCATTTTGGGAGGAAGAGGAGATACCTTTAGGCCACTAGGCTTTTTGGTATTTTCTCACATTTTTTAAAATTGATGTTCATGGAATCTGGCCCCATTGATCAGCACTACATATTTTTTTGACTTGGTTTCTATGAAGTGTTGCATTGGAGTTTCCTGTTAGTTGCAGCAATTCTTTCCTCTTGTTTTGTTTAATATGATGATTGAATTGTTTTGGTACTAATATATTGTGTTGTCGCTAGTAATCTTGCCCAGTGCAATTGTCTAATGGGATGGTGAAAAGTTTGGTACTAATATATATCATTTCAGAAGTCCTCCCAATGTAAACTAAATACATTTTCTAGGGCACAATCAGAGATGCTTTCACTCACACAGGGAGAGGGGTGTATATATCTATATATGTGTGTGTGTGTGTGTAGAGAGATAGAGAGAGATGCAGTAGATAACAAGCTGGAAAAATTCTCAAATAATTTGGAAGGTAACATAATTTATAAACATTTTCAACTCAAATAATCTGTTTCTTCTGACTCTGCTAGGAGGCAAATAACTGAAACTTGATTTTTTACATGGAGAAATAACCATTAATCCAAATAAAGTCTGAGAGAGTCTACTGGACCCTAAAATTGGGAACAAAAGGGAAGGAACAGATGTAGCCTTTGTCTAATTGCCGTATAGGACCAAGAATTACCAGCTAAGTACAAAGTTAAAGAGCTATTATTGACTTGGACATGAGTGTTAGGCTCATGCTGGCTCCATCCTTGGACGTATCTGAACCTCAATGAAGACTCTTCTACCTTAAATGTCAATGAGGTTGGCATTGAAAATATGGCAAGAAGAGAATAAATGTTGGTGAAAATAAATAATTTGTAATGTTTAAGAACTTGATAATGGGCTTGAACTAGTAAAGACTAATGAACAGAATTTGGCAAACCAAATCTGTCATTAGGTTCATTATATTTAGAAATGAAACAGTTATGAATTGGGTCTAAGAAGAAACGTGGTTCAACAATTATTTACAGGAAAGATAAAGTTTAAATATGAAATTAGCTATGCTATGCTGTCAGGTCAGGTCAGATTATATTTTTTGGTGTTTGATTATGTTACCATCAGATTTTTGTAACTCCTTTCCCAGAAATCCTGCATGATGTGTTCAGTTTTCCTCTGAACCAAAGAGTTATTGCTGTCCAATGTGTGATAATATTGGATTTTCTTTCTTCTTCTGTACTAATAAATAAATCATGGTTCGTATTTTGCTTGCCATAAATCTGAATGCAGGTTTGCATTTAGTGAGACAACCAAATTAATTGGAGTTCCACGGCTGGGATGCTAAACAATTCAGTACTTCTTCTTCCTGGTATGATTATTGTATTATTCTAACAGCATTCTCTCTCTCTCTCTCTCTCTTTTTTTAATTCAATATATTCTTCATTATTCCATGTCCTATCCCAATAAGAATACATTGCAAATTCCTTTTTTCCCTATAAACAAATTACCTTAATATCTCCATTCAAGATTTAAAATTTGTTCTTAGTTGTTACTAATGTTTTACCATGTCACGTACCTTTTGTCGTAACAAAAAACTTGGTGATTACCTATGTATTGTTTTCCTCTAAAGCTGGATTGATCCTGCTATGGATCCAGTGTTTTCTTTCCAGGATAATACCTTGAAGTCAGTATAACTGCCTGTTCCCTTCCTTTTTTATTATCATTGTAAATAAGAAAATTGTGGTTACATCAGAAAGCTATTAATAAGTTTTGCCCATAGGAGATGCAATTTTAAATTATTAATGAATGATGTGGATTTATCCACAGGACAGAGTGATATATTTCTATGCCAAGGTTTTATTCCCGTTTGATTTTTTTTTTTTTTTTTTTCCCTTAGAAGTTGAAATTGGTGAGCCTACTGAAAAGTCACCATGGGTACTGACATTATGAGCATATCATTTGTTAATTAGTTTTATTGAAATAGAAATTTTAACTAATCTTGAGCTGAAACTAATGCTCAAGCTGACGAAGTAGAAGCCGATTCAAGTTTACGAGCAGCTCTTGATGTAAAAATGAGACAAAGGTTAGATGTATCTCCGGTCCACTTCTCCTAGCACCTCATGTTTGTCCGCCCAAGAGTGAATGTCCTTTTTGTAGGCTAAAATTAAAAATGAGACAAAGTGGTACCTGGCCAAGTGATGTTATATCCTATCAGAGCAGCTGATATAGTGTCCTCATCTCAAGTAACACCTAGTGGCTTCATCTCACAAGATCTAACGTAAAGTGTTATATCCACAGAATGATATTATTGCAAATAACTTGTTATGTTTGATACATCACTAATTTACATCAGGAATCAAGTCTTGCAGATATTTGTTTTATTTTGCTTTTTTACGGAATTGTTATATCCATTCTTTCTATGAACCTGTCTTATTGATATTGTGATGGGTAACAGGTGGTTCAAAATACTGGAAGCTGGATGGAAATTGGCAACAGCATCAGGTATTTTGGAATCGTGAGTGCCCAATTTGTGTTCATCCTGTTGCTTATTGCCCTCACACATGTAAGACATCCAAACTATATCGCCTCAGCAGATTTATTGTGTCATGCGATTCTCCTTCTTGCTAGTTATACCTATGGGATTTGTTTTTTTGAGATTTTTCCCAGTCAGTTAATTTTAACAGTATTTGAGTTTTCCTGCGATTTTTAAGACATGAAGCCATCTAGTTCCATAACGAGTGTTTTAATATATCAAATTATTAAAATTTTAAGATTGGATGAAATTTAGTTTAAAATTGAACTAAAATCGCATTAAATTTCAAATCCAAACCATTGATTTGGTGCTTCCAAGCTTCATTTATGAGATTTATAAGGTGAACTTGCCCTAATAGTGGAAATAAAGGAACATGCGGAGATCATTGCAGGGGGGGAGTTAGATGAGAAGGCTCGAACTGCTCCCAAGCACCAATGGGGAGATGCCCACCACTAGGCTGCCAAGGCCTTCTCGCAATGTTGAAGATGATACTATTTTATTTCACACATAAAACAGACTGTTGCATAATGTTGACATTTTCATCACATAACAGTGTGTATGGGCAAACGCGTATGAGTTGTTAATTTAAAAGTAGAACCGTTTTGGGGGTATACAGGTGGTGGGTGGGACCATCTCGCACATGCAACCTAATCATCTAACTCCTATCTGAATGAATCTGTTGCATGGATACATATTCAGTAACAGTTCTTGCTACCCGTCTTATTTGTCATCGTGCTCTGTCTCCACACCAAACAGAAAAAAGCTCTTTGCTTTTTTATCATTACTTGGACTACTTTGCGGGGGAAAAAAAAAACAAAAAATAAAAACTTGTAAGTTGTTTGTAACACATTGGTTCAACTGTTACAACACCACTGTTTTTTTTTCTACTTTAACAAAAATAAATATTTTTTCTACTTTAAAATAAATAAATAAATAAGCTTAAGAGTCTTTTTTATTATAGACAGATATCCCAACTTTTACAAAATTTAACAAATATTAAATTTTATCTAAAATGGTAAAAAATTACAAAATTATCATAGTACCACCATTATTCAAGTTTGGCACGATTAAGAACAAAATTTCTCTTAACCTGGTCTGGTAACAACTGTAATGCACTCAAATTATTGAAGACCAAACACAAAACAAAAATGAAGAGAAAGAAATGGAATTTTCTTTTTCTTCTTTAAATAATTAGAGATTACTTACTTATAATTTACGTATCCACCGCCCCTGTAATATATATATATATATATATTTGAAGTAAGAGATGTTATCATGTGATGAACAAAACATACGCCGGATACTGCGTATTGTATTGTTTAATTTCCATCAAAAATTTCTTTTTTAAAACTATGTAACGGTGTTAAAAAACATGAACCCGATGATTAATGTTGGCCGTACCCGCAAGGCATCCCAGTTTTAATCCTCTGCAACTCCTTATCCTAAACTCCACTGAACCCTCCAACCAAAGCCCAACTCTTTGGGTATCATCGTCATTTCAAGTCACATTTCTAATTACTATCCCCACTTAATGTGGGTTTCTAAATAAATATAGCACACATGACATCCCGTGATTGGTGGTTACTGGTTAGAATTCTAGCGGCATGTACACCACCTCTCTCTCTCTGTCTAAAAGTAATCTCAGTAAAACCCTCTCTCACTGTCACTAATCCATCTCTGTCTTTCTACATCCATAAGCTCTCTCTGCTTCCTCTTTCCTCTCTCTCTCTGACCTCGGAGAGGAAGAAGCAGTCTTAGCTTAGCTCAGAGCCTCAGGCAGACCCATTTCCATGGCATTACCTTTAGTTCTTCTCATCCTCTCTTTCTCTCTCCTCACTCCCACAGAATCCCGTGGCCGTGGTGGAATATCCCATCGACTCACCCTCAACTACTACCAAAAATCATGCCCTAGATTCGAACAGATCATGCAAGACACCATCACCAACAAGCAGATCACCTCCCCCACCACCGCCGCCGGCGCCCTCCGCCTCTTCTTCCACGACTGCCTCATCGAGGGCTGCGACGCCTCCGTCCTTGTCTCCTCCACCCCTTTCAACAAGGCCGAGCGCGACGCCGACATCAACCTCTCCCTCCCCGGAGACGCCTTCGACGTCGTAGTCCGCGCAAAGACCGCCCTCGAGCTCGCCTGCCCGGCCGTCGTCTCCTGCGCCGACATCCTCGCCTTGGCCGCCCGGGATCTCGTCACCATGATGGGAGGCCCATTCTACAATGTCAAATTAGGCCGCAAAGATGGGTTGATCTCAAAATCCTCTCGCGTCGAAGGGAATCTTCCGAGACCCACCATGTCTATGACACAGCTGATTCAGATTTTCTCATCCAGAAACTTCTCAGTTCAAGAAATGGTGGCACTGAGTGGTGCTCATACAATTGGGTTCTCGCATTGCAGTGAATTTAGTGGAAACATTTACAATTACAGCAAGAATTCGCAATACGATCCGAGTTACAACCCTCGCTACGCACAAGGGTTGAGAAGTGCTTGTGCTGATTACCAGAAGAATCCGAGCTTGTCAGTGTTCAACGATGTGATGACTCCGAACAAGTTCGATAATGTGTACTACCAGAACTTGGGCAAGGGATTGGGGGTTTTGTCTTCGGATCACGCATTGTATTTGGATGGCAGGACGAGGCCTTATGTGGAGATGTATGGGGCGAATCAGAAGGCGTTCTTTGAGGCATTTGGTCGAGCGATGGAGAAGCTGAGCGTCTACGGTGTCAAGACTGGACGGCAAGGAGAGATCAGGCGAAGGTGTGATGCTTTCAACAACTGATTAAATTAGAAGAGATTGTTTTGATTATTGTTGTTGTTTTTGATAATGAGGATGGTTTATTTGATTTTTTTTTTAATTTTTTTTTATGAAGAGTTTGATAATATATATATATATATATATATATATATATATATATTTATACAATGTCTCAATCAATTAAGGTGATATTAAAGCTTAATATACATATTTATAGTTCTGGGTTTAATGTATCTGTTGTGTTTTTTGTTATTGTGTTTGATTCAATTTGATTGAGCTTGTTGTTGTTGTGCTAGGGGTTTGTAACAAAAACAATGGTGGACCATTAATTGTTTGTTTAGTAATGAAGAGAGGTAAATTTTTTGTTGATTTCTTTAGTTTAGTAATTAAAGATTTTTTATTTTGGGTGAATGTGTAGGTGGAAAGAGGAGGAGATGGTGTTATCAATTTACGAAATGAATAGAAATTTATATAATAGGAGTGGAGCAGGTAATTACAGGAAAACTGAAAAGATGCTCTCTTGATTTTGGCTTTTCGAAACGAAATTGTATATATAATAAATGTTGACGTGGATAGATGAGTGCTTACGACAAAAATTTGTTACAAGTAGCAACCCATTCCACAGTGTACATGAATTGTGACTTATGCATAATATTCAAATCCATTTATTTAAATATTCAACAATTTTTAAAGTACTTGTTTTTTACCAACATAATAATGTGTGGGGGAAAGATGAAAATCATTCCACCTGCAACATAAAATCATTTCACATAAATTGTGACCACACAACATAAAAAAAAATAGACAGTTTGTAGAGCTCACCACAACGTCCCCCACACACACCATTGTGTGCATTGTCTAGGATCATAGTTGGCCCTAATGACACAATGGCCCGCACACCATTGTGTGTCCTTGGACCAAGGTCGTAGCACAGCTATATTTGGAAAGAGTATTTCAACAAATGATTCAGTTCAATCACAGACCAACCTCACGTGTAATGGGGTAGGATTAGGGTGGACATATATAGTGGAACCATTATTAGATTGAAGCCTTGGTGTAAAGTATTTCTAGCAAATCACAACTTATCCATTCATGATTTCTCCGATTAGTCAAAAATTTTCAAAAAAATTGCTTTTGACATATTCACAACACTGATATACTGGGAATGAAGTGCCAGGAATACGTGACTCACAATAAATCTCAATTTCAACTCTCAAAAGATACAGTAATTTTATTTATATATATATCAGGGTGAAACTCATTAGGTGGATCAATTCAAATTTTATTTTTTCACAACTGAGTCACTGACCAATCCCAACTTAATTAAAAATGGATTAATTTAATTTTTTTTTTTTTTAAAATTAAAAAATTATTTTAAATTAAATATTATCCCATTAAAAATCCACGCATTTAATCACTAATGAGACAACAATTAAAAAGAAAAGGCAGAGAAAAATGAGAATCGCTACTGAACTTTTTGCACCATGACCTTGATCGTAACACTAAGGGTGTGTTTGGTAGGGTTGATTTGGAGGGATAGGGAGAGAAAAGAAAAGAGAGGATAGTGTAACTTTGTGTTTGGGTAACTTAAGTGAAGGGATAGGGAGGGATAAGGAGAGATAGGGAGGGATAGCTATCCCTCCCTATCTCTTATTTGCTTTCTCCTCAAAATTGAGAAGATAGGGAGAGATAGTGAGAGAAAGGATAGTGATTTTAGTGGTATTTTGATAATACCAAAATTAGCCTCCACAAATCAATAGACAGATTTATTATTCCATTCAAGTCCCATGGTTATGAAAGGGTAAAAAAGTAATTTGTCTATTATCCTTTCTTTTCTTTTCTTTCCTCTATCTTATCCAAACAAAAATAATTATCACTTCTTTTCTTTTCTCTCCTATCTATCCAAACACAAATAGAAATTATTACTATCATTTCTTTTCTTTTCTCACTAATACTATCCTTTCTTTTCTTTTCTTTTCTCTCATTACTAATACTATCCAAACACACCCTAAGAGTTAGGCCCAGCTCATTAAGCTTCTTCTCCAAAAATGATTACAGTATTTACATCTTTTTCATCCACCACTAGTCAATTGCCAACCCAAAAGGGTTAAACAGAGCAAACGTACACAACTAACACAAAAACCCCATTAAACAAAAATACACCACAAATTATACAAACCTTTACCAACAACAAACCCATAAATTTTTTTCAAAGAGCTCCACAAACTCAAAACTCGGTGGAATTCGCCCCTGACCCGTTCATCATCCCATGACCGAGTTCAAATTTTGTCCGAGTCACCTCCCCTGAGTTGAGAAATGCCACCCAATCCACCACCTCCTCCTCCTCCTCCTCCTCATCTCTCCCCTTCATCATCTCCAGCATTTTCCTCGCCTTATTCCTTGCCCGCTCGCTCCCTGCTTTCTCCACCTTCCTCAAAACTTCCTCCGCCTCAGCCTCCTTCGCCAGCCCCTTGAACCTCAACCCACCATGACTAAGCCCATACAATGCCGCCACGCAACTCTCCCGAGTTGACTCGGTGTCCAACTCGTCCCCCTTCAACATCTTACAAAAACACTTCACCGCACCCGAATCAAGCATAACCGCACGCCCCTCCGCACACGCAGCAAAGTTACACAGCACCAAGAGAACCCGACCCGTCAAATGACCCGAACTCACCATACCCAAAAGCGTCTGAACCGATCCGAGTTTGAGCATCTTGGACCGGTTGCTCTGAACGAGTGAGAGATGATACAGAGCCAATGCCGAGTCGTTCCGAGCCCGCTCAGAGTAGGATCGTAGCGCGTGGAGAAGTGGTGGCAACGCGCCCAACACTCCAATCGCGGTTTTGTTCTGATCATCAAGGGCTAGGCTGAAGAGTGCACCAGCAGCGTGTTCCTGCGCCTCAGGGAATCCTCCTCTCAACACGTCGATCAACGGTGGGACAATCCCAGACCGCACGATCTTCACCTTGTTTCTATTCTCTAAGGAGAGGTTCACCAGAGCAGCAACCGCGTTCACCTGAATCGTCGCGTATCTCGAGACGATCAAGGATCGGAGGGCTGAGAGCATTCTGGAAGTACAGAGATCGAACCTAGTGTCCTCTCTGGTTCTCGTGATCTTTCTCAGTGACATCACAGCCTCTTCTTGTTCGAATACTTGAGAACTCTTGAGTAGAACAATGATTGTTTCCTCTTCAGAGCAATTAGGGCTTAGGATTTCGATATCGGAGGAAGAAGAAGAAGCAGAATAGCAAGAGGGTCGAGTGGATAGCGGCAGAGGAGTAGTAGTGGCCACAGATTCGTCCGAGCTGGAACTGGAAGTGAAGTGAGTCCGTCGCTGAGTCAACTCGGACTCGGCGTGAGTGAACTTCTTGACACCATCGTTGCCATTCTCTGCAACCCCTTTAATCGACTGGTCGTTCTCTTCGTTATGGGTGGTTTGCTGTGAGGCCATTAATTTGCGAGCGAGCTTCTCTGCGGATTGAAGATCGATGGGTTTGGGAGGGTTTAAGAGAAAAGTGTCACACCAGTTGAGGATGATGGATTTGAGGGCGAGATTGGGAATGAGATTGGAGAAATCAGGGGTAGAGCCGTCAGAGAGAATGGGTTTGAACCCTAAAGCCTTGCAGGCTTGAACGCAATTAAGCTCGAAGGTTTGGCCAGAGGAGATGATGACAGGGTCGGCCATTAAAGACCCAGAAATTGGGCAGATAAACTCGTTGGGAGGCTGTTTTTTGATGGACGACGGAGAGCGGTGAAAGGAGATCTTCCACCTCTGCTTGACAGTTCTCATCTCTCTTCAAAATGTAAAGGGTTTGTATGAAATTAGCGTTGTTCAAATAATTTCAACGGATTTTCTTGCACTCCATAGCTTGAGGAGAATCAGACATGGGTTGTGGGCAACGGAAAACATGACGAGATTGTTGTGAAAGAAATATAGAGAAATGAATGCTATACGTACTTAGTACTGTGTACTGATCACTGTAGACCTGGTCTTGAGGGTAAAGAAGAGGAAAGAGGAAGAAGAAGAAGAATAAGATATGATGTAGATAAAATGAATGCTTTACGTACGTCACTGCCAGTGATTTGTCGATATTTGATAGTGTGCGGGGGTCTGTCTCTGTGGGCTTTAGCTAGAAAAAGGGAAGGAATAATATTGTTGCTCAAATAAAGAAACGACTTCTTTTAATCTTTAAGCCTGCCTTTGTATTCACATAATTATAAATGAAAGCAATAATTTAGAATTTAAAATTATTTGTTTACTGGTTTATATTTTCATAGTATTAGTTCATAATACTATGAATTTTTTTCTTCTAAAATTACCTTCCTGTCTTAAAAATATTTCAAAATGTGTTATTGTCATGTCCAACAAAAAAATAAAATATTCAAATTTCAAAATACTCTTAATCGTATTCGAATATCATCACAACATCCCTAGATAAGATGTCTGTGCTTTTTATATACAAACTAATAATACAAAAAAAAGTTGTCACAAACAAATTGATCGTTTAAAACTATTAATTTTTTAATTTCAATTTAAACAAACCAATTCAAAGCATATCATATACGAGAGAAAAGTACACAATACTTTGAATACAGAGTATTTATTAAATTGGTGTGTGGTTTCATTTAGAGTGTTGGTTTTTGATGATACAAACCAACTCCTCCAGCTGCTTTTGATTCCAAAAGTAGATAAAGATAGTCAAAAGGGTCTCTCCCATGATTTCATGCAAAGGGCTCTGACAAGTTGTGAGAGATATTGAACGAAAGTCCCCAAGAAAATCACCTAGTACTCGTGTGTGTGTGTGTGTGTGTGTGTGTGTGTGTGTGTGCGCGCATTACTATTGCTTTTCTTAATAGCCAAGGCTTTTGGAGCTGTAATAATGTTTGAAGGTTGTGTTGAGTGTTCTAGGCTGGCCATGCCACTCTTGTCTTCCGTTTATAAAAGTGATTCCCTGCTTTTATTATTATTTGCTCAACAGCGCGGGGCCTTCTAAACCCTATTTTTATTTTATATATATTTTTTAGGCAGGTAGTACTAAGTCACACACAGTAACGGTGAGTGCACAAAAACCATAAAATTTCAAGTCATTCATATGAAAACAAAATCATCATTTTTTAGGATGGTAATGGTCGAAAAGCTTCTCGCACCGTCATACCTCTTTGACATATCATCTTCTTTCTATGGAACAATTTAGTTAATTTGATTTTGGTTCAACTACTGAATGTCTCATGTATGACTTTTCATGAAAATGAAAATCAACAAATAAAATATGTGATCCTTTACGAAGACACTGCTTCAAATTTGAGAATAATTTTTGTTTGTACCAAATAATATTACTCCGTCAATGTTAGAAGGAAGACAAATTCAATATTATTTTGATCTCCACTGAAATTTAAGCGTGCTCATCAATAATACATATATATTTTTTTTTATTATCAAATTTTATGAAAATAACAATTTTGTCATTTCCTTACCTGGCAAGGCAATAATAATCAAATGTATTATTATAATAGTATAATATAAATGTATTATTAACTTTTGACCTTGACAAATAAATTTAAGAGACGTTAAATTCTACTCTTATTTGTAGCACTTCAGAAGAAGTCAATAGCATGAAATATAAATCATCACGCATACAGAGGAAAAAGGAAAAAGTAACTATTGTCAAAAGTGCTTTCACTGTAAATTTTGTACAATCGGTCTCTATCAGGATTTGATTAAAAACAAATCATTCAATCAGGAAACTAAATCTTGTCATTTACTACTTTTTAAAATCAATAAAGCCATAAAATAGTCTCTTAAAAATTTAGAAAAGATATTAATTAGTGAACTAAGTCATTGAAAATTGGGGATGGCCTGAGTAATTTTTTAAACAAGAGAAGATGTTCTTATAATTATGACAAATTATAAGGGAGATTTGTGTAAATTACCCTTAAAAGAATGATATTGCTTAGAATAGTAACGGACGAAAAACTTATAAGGCTGTCATATCTCCTTGATATATCATCTTCTTCGCATGAAACAATTTAGTTAATTTGGTTTTGGTTTAACTACTAATGTCTCATGTACGACTTTTCATGAAAATGAAAATCAACCAAATAAAATATGTGATGGTTCAGGTGGCTCAAATTTGAGAACAATTTTTGTTGGTACCAAGTAATATTACTCTTTTAGAGATGTGGACAATTTTAATATTATTTTGATCTCTATAGGTATTTTAATATTACTAATGTCTTATGTATGACTTGGACAAGCTCAACAACTTAGTATTTTCTTTCTAATTACCGAATTTTATGAAAATAATAATTTTATCATTTTCTTATATGACAAGACAATAATAATCAATTTTTAACAAAAAAAAAAGACAATAATAATCAAATATATTAATATAATATTATAATATAAATGTATTTCGTTGACAAATGAATTTAAGGGAGGTTAAAGTCTACTACTGCGTATATAATTTGTAGAAACCTCGGAAGTAGTCAATAACATAAATTTTAAATGATTAGGAAAAAGGAAAAAGTAACTATTGTTCAAAGCGCTTTCACTATAAATTTGTACAATCAGTCTCTATCAGGATTTGATTAAAAACAAATCATTCAATCAGGAAACTAAATCTTGTCATATACTACTTAAAATCAATAAAGCTTAAAGTAGGGACAAATTTAATATTATTTTGATCCCACTTAAATTTAGGCACGCTCATCACTAATACCTAATGTTTTTATTTTTATTTTAATTATCAAATTTTATGAAAATAATAATTTTGTCATTTCCTTACCCGGCAAGGCAATAATAATTAAATTTATTAATATAATAGTATAATATAAATGTATCACTACTAAATTTTGACCTTGACAAAATAAATTTAAGAGAGGTTAAGGTCTACTGTTATTTGTAGCACTTTAGAAGAAGTCAATAACATAAAATTTAAATCATCACGCATACAGAGGAAAAAGGAAAAAGTAACTATTGTAAAAAGTGCTTTCACTGTAAATTTTGTACAATCGGTCTCTATCAGGATTTGATTAAAAACAAATCATTCAATCAGGAAACTAAATCTTGTCATATACTACTTCTTAAAATCAATAAAGCTATAAAATAGTCTCTTAAAAATTTCGAAAAGATATTAATTACCGGACTAAGTTCTGTCTGTTGGTGTCCCATTCGTTGAAAATGTTGATGTTTTGTGCCCGTTGATATTTTTTTGTTTTTGTTTTTTGGGAGGGTTAAGACCCACTAAAAAGAAACTCGTGAGTTCCAACTGTATGTGCATGTTCACACAGTAGATGCTTTTTCTTTTGAGAAAAGCGTGCAGCATTAGCATCTGGAATGATCTTGGATGCAATTATTTTGTGTAAAAGTGGAGATTTTGGTGTTTTGGTTCAAGTAGTGGCCTCTATTGACAATAAAAAAAGGTAGCTAAATGTTTATTCATTTATGCTTTTTCACTTTATAAAAAAGAAGATTATTCCATCTTTGCAAATTGGCATTCACCTTTTTGTTTGTTGTAGTAATGGTCAATCACCACGCTCCAATGCAACCTTACTATGAAGTCAAATCACTCGAGAGTTAGGTCACTAATTCAAGATTAGTGGTTGATAATATGAGCACTAAAGCACTTCCAACTTTTCATAAAAATGTATAAATGAAAATTCAAAGTGTAAAAGATAAAAAGAGTGTTGAAAGATTGAGAATTTACACTTTTCTTTTGTGGTTGCTCAACGTTTAAAGAAAAATGGAATATGATGGTGTTATTGAATAAAATTGAACTAAAATTAAAACCATATGTACTGATCATGATATTTGGTTCATGATCTTATGAATACGGAAAAGAATTGGAATAAAGTGAACATTATGAGGTAGAAATGATATTTTAAAATTTATGCTTGTCTAAAATGTCTGACGTCACCATAGTTAAAATATAAAATAAATAAAATTGAAGAATGGGATCAATTTTATCTGTTTAATGAGGTTAGTTTTAAGATTGAGAAAGGACATATTTTGCTGAAAAGGTATGCATAATTATCAATTTTTATTCATAAATTAATAATTTGTCTGTTATTCGCTCCGTTCTTTATTTATTTGCTGTGGCAATTAAAACTGTAAAAACTGGAATCCTCTACTTTCCGAATTGAAAGAAGAGCAAATAAATACTCACATGCCCTTTCTCTAAAAAAGTGCTCTTAACTTGTAAAACTGAGGATGAGAAATATAAATTTTTTTGAACAAATGGTGCCAAGCTTGAGAAGTTGGGTTTGAGTTTGATAGCCCAAATAGAAATGGGTTTAGGTCTAATTCCAAATTCACTCCTCCCAACATACATTCCGCAACATTGGGTATTGCCTGCTCTTGAGCCCACACCGCTACGATCCCAATCGCTGAAAGAAACTCAACTAAGAAAAACATATATAGGTAAGTTACAATCAATCAAAGCCCAAATTAATATATTATTTTAGGGCAAAGTATAGAAAATTTCCCTCGACTTGTAACTTTTTTTCAGTAAACCTCTCTTTATCTATTTTTTTTATTAAAGAACTCCCATCGACTTGTAACTTTTTTCCAATAAATCTCATTGTCTAATTTTTTACCACATAACCCCCTCAACTATCTGAAAGGGGTAAAGGAATTCATATTTGGACCAAAATGCCATTTATTAATTCTTAATTCTCCAAAACTTCAAAAATTTATATTTCACAAACCGTACATTTAAAAATTATAAATAATATATGCACGGAAAACTTATAAAATAAGGATCCCAAAAATATAAGATTTGTACAACAAACCTTCATCACCAAAGATAAATAGGCAATCGAAAAATCTATTCCAACAATAAATACTCTAGGTATTTGCAAGAAAATTTTCACAATTATTCATTTAAATATGGAGCCAAATATATAAAAAAAAAATTAGCTCTAATAATGATCGATTTCATGATTTATCATATTTTACGTCAAAAGTATTTTCATTCTTTTATAGACTTACCATTTTAAAAAAATGAATATTCGGTCTCTATTGGGGTTAATTTTTTTATATGTTATGTTCCATGTGAAAATGAATAATTCTGAAAATTTTCTTGCAAATAGTTCGAGTATTTTATAAAAAATAAAATAAAATAAGATTGTTGCAGTAGATTTTTAGATTGTCTATTTCTCTCTAGTTATGAAGTTTTGTT